TAGCTCATTAAATTACAATAAAGCCTCATGCAGTTTGCAGCAAGCTCTCTAATCTGCCTGGTGATTGGGGTGACCGCGGTTGTGGCCTGGGACCCCGGATACCTTAGTTTTTCTGAGGGTCTAACACTTCCTTTGGAGAAAACAATGTTCTCTGTATAGAGGCCTTTCAATTGTGTGGCATGGGTTACTGCAGTTACTCTGATTAGAAGCCATTTAATGCTTACCTTGGGCTCCGTCATTTCCTCTTCCTTTTAGGGAGGGGCGGCCTGAGCAGGCTGAGCTGCCGAAAAGAATGGAAGTCATTAAAACATGCTTGCCTTTGTGCTTTCAGCAATATGTATTTAGAATTTATGACCGTTCTTGGATCCAACAGAAAGTGGAAAGACATCCATACTATTGCGGGGCTCATAGCAACCACAAGGGTCACTGGAAAGAGGGCGTGGGGCTGAGAGCAGGATGGACAGAGCAGGGGCACATCCGTGGGGATGCCCAGACTTTATCCGCAGCGCTGAGAGAATCCACGACAACTAGGAGACTGCTAAGACATACAGGCTCTCTGTGTTCTGTCACATTTACAAAAGAAATCATTCAATGGGATCGTAACTAGAAAGGTGACGCATTTCCAGGACTGGAGGGTTTATGTGAGTTAGTAAGGCATATCGGAAGTACTGGCTGGGAAGAGAATTAAAACTTTTTTTTTCCTTGGGAAAAAAAAAACTACACCACTAAACCAGAAAGACGTTAGATATGCAGGGTAATTATAGGATTAGGAGAGCAGAGGGAAGGGCTGAAAAGTTGGCTCAGGGATTCAGACTTGCTTCTCTAACATCAAGACCCAAGGTGGATCCGAGCAGCCACAGTCCACAGCTCACAAATGCCTGTAACTCCAAGTCCATGGCAAGGGATCCAGTGGCCTTTTGTGGCCTCCCTGGGCACCTTTACACACACACACACACACACACACACAGACACACGAAGAAGAATGGGTGTTGAAGGGACCCTCTCTCACAAACTTACTTTTCCTCAACCTAGTCAGATGGAACAATAAATGGGATGGGGACGGGTGGCCAAGAGATGCCACTCTGTTCTCCTTCAGGTGGAGGACTGTCACGTCCAGGTCCCAACACCCCAAGCCTGATGCTTATGCTCCATCCTGTCTGCAGCTACCCCAACCCAGTCCAGAGTTTGTCCACAGTGAAGATTTTCAGGGTGGGAATTGGCTGGATTTCAATTCCTAAACTTGGACAAGCTGCCTTTTTCCATCCTGGCAGAGGCAGCCACTCTCTTGGATTTCTCCCTCCCAATAAATCTCCTCGTGAATGAGTTTTGGGTGAGACTTTCCTTCACCAGAGTTGAGCAGGGCAGAGAATAACAACTTTTGCTGGAACAGAGAAGCAATGGCCATGTCAGCAAGGAGACTCCCTTAGTGGAGTGGAGCAGAGAGACAGCAGACATTTCTGTGAAGATCTCATAGCAGAGTGGAACAGAGCTGAGCTCTAACGGTTCTCCCAGAGAGGAGCATGGTGGCTGGGTTCCTGGGGGGAAACCATCACCCACCTGTACACAGCTGTAGGTACAGCCTGGCTTCTGACCTTCTGACAGCCAGGGTACCTTTCCCTTCTGAGTTGTAAAACATTTTGGTGCCGAAGCCCAGGACTGACTGCTTCTCTAACTATTTACCATCCGTTTTCCTCTCAGTCCATCCTGGGTCTCCAACAGGTGGCTCAGACCATCCTTACTCCTCAGGGTCAAACACTCACTGGGCCACTGTAAGTGCTGCAGTCGGTGAGAATTAGATTCACTAACAGCAGAAAGAGGTGTGTTGTTTGATATTTTGTTAGTGTTCTGACAAATAAAGCTTGCCCGGAGATCAGAGGGAGGAGATAGCCACTAGTTAACCATAGAAGCTGGCAATGGTGTCACACAGCTTTAATGCCAGCACTCAGGAGGTGGAGACAGGAAGTGATGAGGTGACAGGATCTCGGTCTTTTCAGACGAACGAGAGAGGAAGGAAACAACTGGCGACTGCTCCCAGTTCTTTGAGCTTCTGGGTTTTTACCCTGATATTTGACTCCTGGTTTTTATTAAGATTACTTAGACTAACTTCAGAGGTTGTCTTTGTCTCTTCCTAAGGGAAAAATGTTGATTCTATAAACCAGTTGGGTACAGTAAATAACAAGATCTGACAGCTCCCAATGGATCTCCAAAAATGTAAGAATCAGCTCAATACCTCTGATTGGATACTACCCTTCCTAACCCCCTTTCTCCTGCTTTTCTTAATCCTACTAGTTGTACTCTGCCTTATAAACTTCTTGTCTAGATTTCTGCAAAAAAGATTTCTAACCAGGATTTTAATCAGTTGCTAGTATATGATCACTGGCCCTTAGCTACAGAGCCAGAGGCCAGCGACTACTGATTAAACCCTGATGGTGAAGATAAAGTTCTCCCTAAGGACTTTGATGGCCTGGTTCAACAGGAAGGAGTCTAAAGATAACATTGCCCCCTTTCCTGTGACCCGATTATTACTAATAAACAAAAAAGGGGGGGAATATAAGCCCCTTGAACCACAGGAGTGGCCAGGCCCCTCCCCGAAGGAGCTCTAACTGCCAGGTTCCACCCACAGAATACTCTAACTGCCCTAACTGCTGGACCCTGCCCCTGCCCTACAGAGTAACAAACCCCGTCTCTGGACATGAAATCCTACCAATCTCACCCTGAAAAGTTCCTATACCCTTCCCAAGGAACTCATATAAGTCTGTATCCTGTTCAGTTTGCAGCTGCTTCTCACCCAAGCAGTGACAGCTGCCCTCC